TAGATATTTGTAAAGTACATACGGACCTGAATGTAGCAGATCCGTTGACTAAACCTCTCCCTAGAGCAAAACATGATCAACACCAGAATTCCATGGGTGTTCGATTTATCACAATGTAACTAGATTATTGACTCTAGTGCAAGTGGGAGACTGTTGGAAATATGCCCTAGAGGCAATAATAAAAGCATTATTATTATATTTCCTTGTTCATGATAATTGTCTTTATTCATGCTATAATTGTGTTATCCGGAAATCGTAATACATGTGTGAATAATAGACACCAACATGTCCCTAGTAAGCCTCTAGTTGACTAGCTCGTTGATCAACAGATAGTCATGGTTTCCTGACTATGGACATTGGATGTCATTGATAACGGGATCACATCATTAGGAGAATGATGTGATGGACAAGACCCAATCCTAAACATAGCACAAGATCGTATAGTTCGTTTGCTAGAGTTTTCCAATGTCAAGTATCTTTTCCTTAGACCATGAGATCGTGTAACTCCCGGATACCGTAGGAGTGCTTTGGGTGTACCAAACGTCACACCGTAACTGGGTGACTATAAAGGTATACTACGGGTATCTCCGAAAGTGTCTGTTGGGTTGACATGGATCAAGACTGGGATTTGTCACTCCGTATGACGGAGAGGTATCACTGGGCCCACTCAGTAATGAATCATCATAATGAGCTCAAAGTGACTAAGTGTCTGGTCACGGGATCATGCATTACGGTACGAGTAAAGTGACTTGCCGGTAACGAGATTGAACGAGGTATTGGGATACCGACGATCAGATCTCAGGCAAGTAACATACCAATTGACAAAGGGAACTGCGGGGTTGCTTGAATCCTCGACATCGTGGTTCATCCGATGAGATCATCGAGGAGCATGTGGGAGCCAACATGGGTATCCAGATCCCGCTGTTGGTTATTGACTGGAGAGCGATCTCGGTCATGTCTACATGTCTCCCGAACCCGTAGGGTCTACACACTTAAGGTTCGGTGACGCTAGGGTTGTAGGGATATGTATATGCAGTAACCCGAATGTTGTTCGGAGTCCCGGATGAGATCCCGGACGTCACGAGGAGTTCCGGAATGGTCCGGAGGTAAAGAATTATATATAGGAAGTGCTATTTCGGGCATCGAGACAAGTTTCTGGGTCACCGGTATTGTACCGGGACCACCGGAAGGGTCCCGGGGGTCCACCGGATGGGGCCACCTGCCCCGGGGGGCACATGGGCTGTAGGGGGTGCGCCTTGGCCTACATGGGCCAAGGGCACCAGCCCCAAGAGGCCCATGCGCCTAGGGTTTCAAGGAGGGAAGAGTCCCAAAGGGGGGAGGCACCCCTAGGTGCCTTGGGGGGGAGGGACTCCTCCCTTGGCCGCCGCCCCCCTAGGAGATTGGATCTCCTAGGGCCGGCGCCCCCCTAGGCCCCCCTATATATAGTGGGGGAGATAGAGGACTTCTTACCTTTTGCCTTTGGTGCCTCCCTCTCCCTCTCCAACACATCCTCCTCCTCCATAGTGCTTGGCGAAGCCCTGCCGGAGTACTGCAGCTCCACCACCACCATGCTGTCATGCTGCTCTTGGAGCCATCTTCCTCAACCTCTCCTTCCCCCTTGCTAGATCCAGAAGAAGGAGACGTTACACTGACCGTACGTGTGTTGAACGCGGAGGTGCCGTCCGTTCGGCGCTAGGATCTTCAGTGATTTGGATCACGTCGAGTACGCCTTCCTCATCCCCGTTCTTTGAACGCTTCCGCGCGTGATCTACAAAGGTATGTAGATGCAATCCGATCACTCGTTGCTAGATGAACTCCTAGATGGATCTTGGTGAAACCGTAGGAAAAATTTTGTTTTCTGCAACGTTCCCCAACACATACAAGCTGGCTACATATGATCACAATGTTATTACAGCAAATGGTGCCTCGAGTACTGCCCCAGATGGGAACCGGTCAGGATGGAACTACATCTGGAAGTCTAGAGTTCCTCAAAAAATGAAGATCAACGCATGGAGATGTGTGACGGGGACTTTGGCAACGCAAAGTTGCAAGGCATACAGACATCTGACGACACGATCAAACTGTCAGATTTGTGGGGTGGAGGAGGAGGACTCATTTCATGCCTTGGTGACTTGCTCACATGCACGTTTGCTCTGGATTAACATGCGCTGCCGCTGGCCACTCCCGGAGGATGATTTCTTAATCCGTGATGGGAGAGAATGGTTAACTACTTTACTGGCGAAGTGCTCGACCGATGTCCAGGACATGCTACTTATGTTTATTTGGCGGATTTGGCAGCTACGTAACGACCTGATCCATGGGAAGGAGTTCCCTCCTATTCCAGCCACCGTCGAATTCCTTGACAGTTATTACAAGTCCATTAAACTGGCTGCATGCTACACTACGGAGGAGATCATTAAAGGAAAAATGTCAACCGGGGAGATGCCGATACCAGACCAAAAGGGCAGGGTCATATCGACTCCATGGCCGGCGCCTCAGCCAGGTAGGGTGGCTCTATCAGTTGATGGCTCGTTCCTGAAGGAGGATGGATCTGCTGCTGTTGGTATGGTGCTTAGAAATGACAAAGGATATGTCCTAATGGCTGCATACCGTTTCATCTTCTATTGCAATGATCCGCTGGAAGCAGAACTACATGCGAGCATGCAAGGTTTGGCCTTAGCACTACAACACTCTGACTTGCCGGTGGTGGTTCAGACGGACTCGTCTGAAGCTTTGTCTAGCTTGGCAAATAATGCACTTCTTCGTTCGGCGTATGGACAGATCGTCATGGAGATCAAAGCACTTCTTGGTACTAGGGAGTTTTTTCCTCAAAAGATCACTTGACTTCAAAATAGAGTTGCCGGTCGGTTGGCTAAGTATAGCCGCACCGAGCGTGCCACGGCTGTCTGGCTGCGCTCGGTTCCACCTTGTATTGAGGACTTGTGGCCTCTCGACTGTAACTCTATAACTCTTTAATAAACTCCCTTTACCCTCGCAAAAAAAACATGTGCTGAGCATTTTATCAACAACATATTTCTGAAAGTGTGTACAATTTTTTAAATGTACCCTATACTTTTTAGAATGGTACAAACATTTGTTTTATGAATTACGAAACATTTTTTACATTGTATAACCATATTTTTAAATGTCACATACACTTTTTTGAATCATGTGAGCATTTTTAAATGTAAAAAAGATCTTTGTTTGTCACTATCATCGTTTTTTTAAATTACGCTAATATTTATTTACACTGTGTTAACAATTTTCAAATTTATGGTTTTTAAATTCTTAAGTGCACTTAAATTTTGAAATGTATGTACTTGTAAAATGTAAAATGTCTTTGTTTATTGCCATAATCATTTTTTATAATTATGCTAATATTTATTTACACTGTGTTAAAAAAATTCAGATTTGTGGTTTTTAAATACTTTAAGTGCATTTATGTTTTGAAATGTATGTACTTGGAATATTTTTTTAAATGTAAACAAAAGAGAAGAGAAAAGTATTAACCTGCAAAGCTACTTGGGCCGGTTCATTAGTTGGGAGGCGGCGGCGAGATGAGCTTGTGTCACGCTGCGGGCGAGACACATCGGCTCCTGTTGTTGCTGCAGGATACGCGAGGAGTCTTATTGCCGCACATGTCTAAACGCCCGGTCACGCCCACCACTAGGAACAAGAGAGTTGAGCGGTTGAGGAAAAAGACAGGAAGACACGAAAAGCATGATTGGTTTCCAAATGTTGGCATTGCCAAACATTTGTAATTGCAAGACTTGTCAAATATTAGCAACTTGATAACCGATCAATTAGTAGCTAATATTTGTCATGGTCTCAAATATTGGTATTCCGCATTGGAATCTATCTTGGCTGCCAAGTGCCAAGCACCGGACTGGGCTTTCACCGTCCAAATCTTTAGTTCAAGACTAGCTATTTCTCTCCATTGAAAACTGCTCGATGCTATTACTAACTCGACAGAGAGTGACCTCGCGTCGGCGGGGCAAAACGCGTACGTCTCTCTGCAGCCAGCCGTGTTGTTGTTTTCACGGCATAGGAGGTGTAATTAACTAACCGGCCACACCACGTACGTTATCCAGAAAAACGGTGACACCAACTGCTGCACCGGCCATGATCAAAAGCTTCCAGTTTAGTTCGTACAAAATGCTGGCTGGGATCTGGCCTAGCTCTTCCACGTACGCAGGCGCGGGGCGGACGGTTATCATTCACCTGCACAGTCCGAGTTAATCTTGATCATCATTCCGTAATCTTCATGAGCTGATAATATACCAGTGCACTAGCTGGTGTCCTTGTTTGATTTGACCGCACCATCATGTGCTGATTAGTTGATCTCGCGATCTGTCGATGGCTCCTTTGCATGTGCCACACCCGGAAAGGTAGCTGAACCACAAAAGGTTCCATCGACCTCCTCTGTCTGGTGTCTGCCGTAGAAACATTTTGTTGTGATGATGGATGCAGGGTGATTAGACACAAATGGAAGGCGTGGACAGATTTCACGGGACGCACCTCGCGAGGTCGGTTGAAGTAGCTAGACTCTGCATGGATTTTTCAGCTTTTTTTAGTAAAACCGACATATGTCCTGGCTCCAGCTACAACGAGATATCTACGAGAAGAAGATAATGTTTGGTTCTTGTCACCTTATCCACCGAAACAAATCAGCAAACAATATCAAAGTGAGGGTGGCGCCACAAATCAAGGGATATTTTTGTAATGAAAATGGGGGCCATGGCCGTCTTCTTCGAGAAAAATCCGCACAAGAGTAAAAGGAAACTAGATGAAAGGGTCGAGAAAATAGTAGGAAAGTCCATCTCAGAGTGTTCCAGTCCAGACTTTTTTTACGCTTTCCATTTCGTCGCGGATGGCGCCTATATAAAGCGCCCAGCAGGGACCACCATCAAGCATCAAACGCAAACACGCACGAGTCCACAACACACAACGAACCCATCTCATCCATTCTTTGAAGCAAGACAAGAGAGATCGAGCGAGCAATGGCTCCCATGCCCAAGCGAATCGTGGAGGACGAGCCGAAGAAGGCGGCGTACGTGACTTTCCTCGCCGGCTCCGGCGACTACTGGATGGGCGTGGTGGGCCTGGCCAAGGGCCTCCGCGCCGTCAACTCCGCCTACCCGCTCGTGGTGGCCGTGCTCCCCGACGTCCCCATGGATCACCGCCGCAAGCTGGTCGAACAGGGCTGCCTCGTCCGCGAGATCGTGCCCGTGTACCTGCCGGATAGCCAGACCCAGTTCGCCATGGCGTACTACGTCATCAACTACTCCAAGCTCCGCATTTGGGAGGTACGATACCTACTGACTAACCCTCTAGCTCTCTTCTTCCATCTTGGATCGATAGATGTTGACTGATTCACTACCGGAAAACGGGCATACGCCGACGGCCAAAGCTATGCCTACGGCTGCCGTCGGCCTAGTTCGAGATATGCCGACGGCCCAGTCCTGGCCGTCGGCTTAAACTGGCCGTCGGGTTACAATCAGTGGATGTATAGTGGGTTTTTCGTCGGAATCAAGTAACAACAGAGTGGATCGAGAAAACTGATGTGTTTTTGAAAAAGATATTCCTAGTCCAATAAGGATGGTGCCAGAATGCCCGTGTGCCAGATGTAAGAGATGTATCCGCAGAGATAAGAGTGAGATGACTAAGCACCTTCGCACGCATGGATTTATGCCCAACTTTAATATGCCGATAAACTTTGTCCAGCAGGACCATGGTAGACAGGATGTGATACGACAACGCGTCGCTGGTTATGAGGATGATGGGGTTAGAGACATGCTAGATGATGTCTTTGTTGCACAGCCGACACCTCCGTCACATTCAGCGAATGAACCGGAGGAAACCGCAAAGGCCTTCCTGGAAATCTTGGCCTCGTCAAAGAAACCTCTCTATGAGGGTGCCAAGCTGTCTGTGCTGGATGCCATCTCGCAACTGATGGCAGTCAAGGTTGAGTACGGCTGTAGCCGAGGTTGCTTCGAAGCATTTCTGGTAGTATGGGCTAACAGCCTGCCCGAGGGTCATGAACTGCCGAAAACCATGTACGCTACGAAGAAAATCATGAAGGCGCTCTCCATGGACTATGAGAAAATACATGTTTGTCCAAAGAATTGCCTTTTGTTTAGGCATGAGTATGCGGATGACAAGTACTGTAGGAAGTACGGTTCCTCTCGGTATATTGAGGTGGTCGATAAGCATGGTCAGAAGCAGCAGCTAAAAATCCCTGTGAAGGTTCTTCAGTATCTTGATTTTATAAAAAGACTGCAGCGCCTTTTCATCACCGAGGAGTCTGTCAAAATGATGAAGTGGCACAAGGAAGGGAAAAGGTACAATCCAAAAAAATTGTACATCCATCAGGAGGTGAAGCATGGAAGTCATTCGATATAGAGTACCCGGAGAAAGCAGCCGAGGCTGGGAATGTCAGAATTGCTATAACAGGTGATGGGTTCAATCCATATGGTATGTCGTCTAATCCATATAGCTGTTGGCCCGTATTTGTTATTCCGCTCAATCTCCCTCCCGGCGCCATAATGCAACGCAAGACCATGTTCCTGTCGCTTATAATTCCGGGGCCTGAATATCCGGGGAAGAATTTGAGTGTGTTTATGCAGCCATTGGTGGATGATTTGCACCATTCTTGGTACTTCCCGAGGTTGACATATGACCGACATCTGCAGAAAAATTTCTTGATAAAAGTTTGGCTACAATATTGCATGCATGACTTTCCCGGTTATGCCCTGTTCTACGGATGGTGTACAAGTGGAAAGATGTCTTGCCCAGTGTGCATGCAGGCCTTGATTTTCATTTGGCTGAAGAAGGGTGGCAAGTATGTTGCATTTGACCTGCATCGACAGTTCCTCCCTCCAGACCATCCTGATAGGGAAGACAAGAAGAACTTCACAAAAGGCAAAGTTGTCCATGAAGTAAACGAGATTCCAACGTTTTCTGGTGCGGATGTGCTTGCTCAGCTGAAAGCTCTTAAGCCTGCCGGTGAAGGGAAAGGCAAAGGCAAAGGCAAAGCCATAGGCGAAGACGAGGGCGAGGGCAAAGGAAAAGGGAAAGGGAAAAAATTTGAAGGATATGGTGAGACGCACAACTGGACTCACATTACCCCCTTCACGCAGCTTCCCTATTTTAAGGACCTCAAACTTCCATACAACATAGACGTGATGCACACCGAAAAGAATGTCGCAGAGTCCCTTTTTCACAAGATCCTCAACATTCCTGATAAGACAAAGGATAATGTTAATGCTAGAGTTGATCAACAGAATATTTGTGATAGACCACGTCTACACATGCAACCTCCTACAGGCAGTCGAAAATCTTGGTTCAAGCCAGATGCTGACTTCGTACTTAAAAAGGATCATAAGATGGAGGCATTCATGTGGCTGAAACACATCATGAAGTTCACTGATGGTTATGCGTCGAATATAAGTAAGGGGGTCAATCTTTCAACGGGCAGAGTGACCGGGCTCAAGAGTCATGACTATCATGTATGGATTGAGCGGATTATGCCGGTGATGGTTCGGGGCTATGTTCCCGAGCATGTCTGGCGTGTGCTTGCGGAGTTAAGCCATTTCTTCCGCATGCTTTGTGCTAAAGAAGTATGTCCTGAGAAGATAAAAGAAATGCATAAGAAGGCGCCGGAGTTGATATGCAAGCTAGAGAAGATCTTCCCGCGAGGCTTCTTTACTCCGATGACACATCTCATTTTGCACCTCCCGAACGAGGTATTGTTGGGGGGCCCTGTGCAGAATCGTTGGCAGTACGGCCCTGAGAGACAGAACAAGCATCTGAGACAGAAATGTGGAAACAAAGCTAAGATTGAAGCTTCCATAGCTCAGGCAGTTATCCTAGAGGAGGTGGCAGACCTCAGGATAGCCTACTATCCGGACCATGTTCCCACGTTGCACAATAAGGTGTCTTGATACAATACAGAAGAACCCAAGTATAAACCCAAGTTGCCTCTATTCATCGGGCAAGGTGGTAGGGCTGGATGCTCGAAACCTTATCTCATGCCACGAGATGAGTGGGAGGATGTCATGTTCTATATCTTGCACAACATCAAGGAAGTTGAGGATGAGTGGATGAGGTAATACCTTTGTATCATTCTTTTAGTCAATTCGTTATGTTCACTTTGCCTAGTTCTTATACCCTTGTTCTTATTGTAGTCGATTCATTGAAGAAGAATGGACGGGAATGTTGCCTCCTACTGAAGCGGAGGCACTTGCTCTTCTCCGAAAGGGTGCTGATGGAAGGAAAAATTTCGTTGCGTGGTTCATGGAAAAAGTAATTTTTCACACTTCCCTATTACCTATTTCAATTAAACTCATGCACCCTATAATTTCAATTAAACTCATGCACCCTATAATTTCAATTAAACTTGTAGAGAAATGATCCGACCAAATCAATGGATGAAGAATTGAGATGGGTTTCCATGGGTTTTGACCCTGTCGTCATGACATGCCAAAAGTATGATGTGAATGGGTATCGCTTCCATACAGAGCACCAGAACAGTCGGCCTGATCCCAAAACCATAAATACTAGAGTCTTCACTGAAGGAGATAATAAAGTAGATTACTACGGAAGGGTAGGAAAAATATACGAGCTTACATTCAAACGTGGCCGCGAACACCTAAGTCTCACTGTGTTCAAATGCCGATGGTTCGACCCCAAAAAGGGTCTGAGACATACGCCTTCTGCTGGTTTAGTTGAAGTTAAACCATCAACCATCTATGCCGGAGCTGATCTCTTTATCGCCGCTACCCAGGCCACACAAGTATATTATCTGCCTTACCCATGCCAGAAAGAGTACCTAAAGGGTTGGGAAGTTGTGTTCAAGGTGTCGCCGCATGGTAAGCTACCAGACCCGAACGATGATGATTACTACAACATAAACCCCATGACATACAAGGGAGTGTTCTATCAAGAGGAACATGATGACGTGGTCCGAAACAACGAGGATGATGACTTGGGTTATGTTGACCTGGACCCAAACGACGACGACGCACGGATTGATGGTGAGGCAGTTGTGAATCAAAGAGACATAATTATGCTTGAAAAGTTAAATGAAGATGCTGACGATGAGGAAGAGCCTCCACCTCCGTCAAACAACGAAGAAGATATGTGTGATAGTGATGATGAGACCGGTCCACAAATAGATTACAATAGTGATGATTCATATGGGTTCTAGAAAATGTAAGTTCTTTTAATGATCATTACAATAGTATGCTTAATGTGCTCTTCTGGTATTAATGTTTTTCCTGTATGCTTGTTTAATTGATATCCTTACTAATTGTTTATTCTCTTCTCAATGCAGGTTTGCTAATCATGGGCAAGTCCAGCGACGCCAGTTTCCTCAGTAAATTCAAAGGACTTACTCGGAGTGGATGAGCCCACAAGGTTCCCTCCCGACTACGCGAGGATGACACCTCACAGGGAGGTGGAGGGGTCGGGGAGGAGACCCTAGAGGAGGAGGCGGTGGGGGAGAGCCCCTAGAGGAGGAGGAGGAGGTGGGGGAGAGGCAGCCGGGGCAAAAAACTCCGGGCCGTGTCCGAAATAGGAGGGTATTCTTCGATGCCCTCCTATACAGAGGCACCTTCTGAGTTTGAGGAGGAGGAGTATGTTCCTGATGGCGAGGAGGAGCGTGAGGAGGAGGAGGGCGAGGAGGAGGAGGCCGAGGAGGAGGGTGAGGAGGAGGGCGAGGAGGGTGGAGGGGATGTTGATCCCGAGTTGTGGGGTGACTTGCCACCGGGTGCTCCGCAGGGGTGGCGTCGTGGTAATGCCGGACTACCTACACCACCTTCTATCGAGGAGCACAAGTGGCTCATTGAACCTGTGGGCACAGAGTAAGTGCCTCTCAATCATATTTTCAACACATGACAACATTTTCTTATTGTACACATGGCAATCATTTGATTCTTGTGCAGAAACTGGATCCTTCGCGGAAAGGGACGTAAACCGAACGGCTTTATCACTGTCCTGTTGAAGGAGTTTTGGCCTGGCCTATTCTGCCCGTGGCCAGACAAGGACCCGCAGCTGCGGGTTTTGGCCACGAGCTGGGCCCACTACGAGGCTTGCAGCAACGCGGAGTACGGGACGGCCGCTAAGGCCGTGATCACCAAATTTTGGGTAAGTTCTCTTCTGAATCACTTGTCTTCAGTTTCATTCATAGTTTATCATTGAATCACTCAACTCATGCCTTGTTTGCTTCTGGTTTATGCATGATTGCAGCAACTCTATAGAGTTCTTCACGAGCACAAGGCCAGAGCCGACGTGGTCTTGCTTGCGGCTGCAAAGAAGAAAGCTCGTCAGTTGCAGTACGAGGTGCGCTGGGTTGCCGTCTCGCAGTACTACCACATCTACCTGCAACAAAAGATGACCAAAACTCAAGCGCAGAGGCAACGACTTACCTTGAACAGGGAGCAATTCATGATGGTAACTATTACTAACTTATCATTGTT